GAGCTCGCCGAGCCGGACCCTGCCCTCACGAGGGCAGCCGCGCTGGCCGCCGCCGAAGGGCACGCCCAAGGCAGGGCTGCTGTGCGCTATGTGCGTGGGAACGCCGAGCCCCGCTCCGAAGCGACGCGTGCTCGTCGTTCATTTCTAATCGTGCTCATTTCTAATTGTGCTCTACTTGTTCCTGGCCCCCCTAGTGGCCAGGAAGAGGCCCAGGATAGAACAATTAGAAACGAAAGGATCTTGGCCCCCGAAAAGCTGAATAACTTCGAATACTTAGAAATGATCAATGTGTGCACGTTCAAGTAGATGTGGTACCCTCGAGCTCGAGCACCCTTCGGCGAGGGGCGTTTGGTCCCAGGCCCCGCTCGCAGCAGGGTGGAGCATGAAGCACAGTCGTCGCTCCCTGGTCCTCTCCCGGAGCGCGCCTGCGGCAGCCGCTGCAGCCTGGCATGAGCGTCGGGATTGAGCGTGAGCTCGCAGGGGGGCCAAAAGGCGCGATGCCGCTCTGCTCTTGGCGCGACGTCCATCTGCGCCGCCGTGCTGCAAGAGCCAGCCTTCGAGGAAGCAGCTCGGGCTGCCCCGCGCCGAAGGCTCAAGAGCCGCATGGGCCAGAGCCCGCCCGCGCGGAGCACGATGCGAGAGCGCTGCAAAGGCCAAGACCCCTCTCGCGCTCATGGCCGCGAGAGGGGTCTTGGCCTTTACGGCTGGAGACACGCGGGCCTCGAGCCACGGCCGGAGCCAGGACAGGCCCCCAGCTTTGTTTCTATTCGGGGGACAGGCAGGAGGAGGGAGGGAGGGAGGGAGGGAGGAGGCAGGAGGAGGAGGAGCAGGAGGAGGAGGAGGCAATGCGCGCATCTGTTGCGCAGCCGAATCGACCAGCGAAGGGGGCGGCCGAGACGAACTTCGCGCACGCCACCGCTCGCGCCCGGGTGCGCTCCGAGGCACTCCGTGGAGCAGGCGATGGCTCCGCACCCGCCAGGGCACGGGCACGCCTCGACCAGAGGAGATGACCCGCAGGAAGGGCACGCACCCCGACGTGTCGCGCTGGCTGGCGCAGCCTCCTCGTTGAGGGCCGCGTGCGCGTCGTCGTGGACCTGCGCCAGGTCGGGGTCGAAGGCCGAGATGAGCTGCCTGGCTTCGGACGCGCCCCCGCCGCTCTCCGAAGCGTCGCTCGAACTGATGATTCGCCGGAGCTGAGCGCGCACGTCCGTGAAGCACACCTGCAGCAGGGCCGTGGCAACCTGGATCTCGCCCATGACCTGCGGGTCTGGCCCCAGGATGCCTTTGGCTTCCGTCGCGGCTGCGGCCACAAATTCAGAGCACTCCTGCAGGACGGAGAAGGTGAGTATCGTTTAACCGCTCCCCATCCCCAGCGGCGTGGCCTGGGCCCCACTGGCCGATTTACCCCGCTAGATGTGGACACAGGCCGTTCCCTTCGGGTATCGAGGGGTGTATCCCCAACTGGGGTTGTAACTTGGTGGGGGTCTCGAAGGGCATGGGGATGGGGGTCGGTTGAACGATACTGAGAGAAGGTAGGCCTCCGGAAACCAGCAGCGAAGCAAACTCCGCCAGTCCAATGCTGCAGACTGGCCGACGGCCACGCAGGCGACGTCAATCAGAAGGCCAACGCCTTGGCTATCAGAGCGTGGCCCTCCCCCCGCGCTCGCACGACAGCGTGCCCCAGGTGCCGCCGAGCTCGCCGCCGAGGCTCTGGCCGGCCAAGCCTCCGACGAGGCTCCTGGCGGCGTTTGAGCGGCAGGCCGAGCTCGGAGCAGGCCTGCACGAAGCGGCCGCCCCGGAGGCTTCGAGCCGCGGCTCCTCGAGGCTCTTGCTCGGCGTGCGCAGCCGCCGCGCGAAGTCGAAGCCGCCCGTGCACGCCGCGCCGATCGCCGACGTCGCCCTCGGGGACCTCTCCCTGTGCAGCTCCGTGGAGGCCGGCGCGCCGCACGGCCCGAAGAGGAACCGCCGGGCCGTGCACCGCATCAGGCCGACGGCGCCCGGCCGCCCGTAAGTCGGGCGTGTCCCCCTGCAGGGGGATTTTCGACGAAAAATGCAAAATATGCAAAACACATTCAAAAGTGGCCAAAACATGCTCAAAAAATAGTCCCCAGACTATTTTTAAAACTATTTTTGAATATTCCCCCTGAGGGACAGGCCCGACTTCAGGCCACCCGTGGAGACGGCTCGCACTGCCACGTAAACCACGGTTTGGACGCCCGCAACGGGTACGGAACAAAGGGGTACGACGCCCAACAACAGATGTGGTCCAAAACCGAAAGCGGCCGCTGTTGGGCAGGCGGCCTTCTGTCTCAAATGAGCAAGGTCCGCGGCGACGCGGACAGGGAGCCCTGTTCAAGATGAGCAAAAGCTGTTGCTGAGCATCGTGCCCATTCCTTCCGTGCACATATCGTTCGTGCCGACATGGCGCTGGGGTCCCCACCGAAAACTGGCATCGAGACGCCTCTCTCGACAACTAAGAGGACCGTGCCAGTGGCATCCGGAACAGGTTGAAGCAAGACGACAGGTCCCCCGGAATCGATGGCAATGACCTCGCTGGTGTCGTCGAAAAGAGCGAGGCCCTACTGGCACTTCCGGGAGATCGCCAGCGCCACCCCGCAGCCTTCTGAAGAAGGCGTTCACGAGGCAAACATGCAAATTAAGCTTAGGTCGGGCATGTCCCGCTACAGGCCGATCTTGGACGAAAAATGAACAATACTCAAAAACTCAACACATACTCCACAAGACTCAAGAAATCGTCCACATACTCTTTTTCTCTTAAATTCGTATTTTTGAACATCCTCCTGTAGAGGCACACGCCCGACTTGAAACTAAACGGAAGTGCATCACGACCTTGCCATCGCCGAACTTCGGCCTGTCGGCGCCCATTGCCTCTGTTGAGGAGAACGGGCCCGCCCGACGCATCCTTGGCAACATCCTTCTCCGCGATCGGCTCGAAGATGCCCCGCTCGAGCCCAACGCGCGCTGACGAGTACCACTCGTGGAGCGAAGCCTGGACCCGGGACGCAAGCGTGCGTCGCGGCCACCGGCTCCGTGGCCCTGGGCGTCGCGCAGGGCCCCGCGGGCCGCCTCGAAGTTCCTCGGGCACGAAATCTTCCGCGTCGAGTAAGCACGCGCCGCCCGCCGGCGGCCACAGGGGAGGGCGCGGGACGGCTCTTCCATTGTGACGCAGAAGTCCCAAATTGTCGGATTGTTCACCCGCCAATAGGGAACGTGAGCTGGGTTTAGATCGTCGTGAGACAGGTTCGTTTTACCCAACTGATGAGCTCGATGCTGCGACAGTAATCGGAGTCAGTACGAGAGGAGCACTTCGTTCAGAGACCTGGTGAACGCGGCTGGCTCCTGCTCACGACTTCCCCCTGGCAGCCGAGCTGCTCGCGGAGGAGGTCGGCCTCGCAAGCCTCCGGCTGGAGCGGCACCGCGCCAGACTCCACGGGGGTGCGGGACCGCGCTCCAGGCAGCACTTCCCGAGCAGGGTCCAGCCCGCGAGGCGCGGAGGAGCGGGTACTTAAAGTCGACCCGCAGAGTAAGGATGCGTGATAGGGATGCAAGGCCCTGGGACGCCCATCCCGAAGCGCTTCGAGCGGGGCGCGGCCAACGAAGGTGTCCAAGGATGGACCCAGGAAGCAAGGATGCAGGGGTACCCTTGGGAGGGATGCCTATCCTTACTCTGCGGGTCGACTGTGGGGGCGCTGGACCGGCCAGCGCAAGCGAGGAAGTTCAGGGCGTGCAGCGCGAGGCTTGTGTTGGGCATGCCCCCCTAAAGGCGGATTTGGAACGACAAAACAACAAATACCCCCAAGATAGGCAAACGTAGTCAAAAATAATAGAAACATCGTCGCCTGACTATTTTTGTCTGTTTTTGTAAGTATTCCTCCTGTAGAGGGACGTGCCGGACTTCACGCTAGGCCAGAGCAGCGTAAACCAAGGGAGCGCCAGCGAGGAGGTGAAGCTTGCGGGCACGGCAGGCCAAAGGAACGCTGCGAGGAGAGAGCCGGCCGAGGGGCGGAACTGCGGGCACCCTTTCTTGCTGCTGCGGCCCCTGCCCGTTGGGTGCTGTGCGGCGAGGGCGCGGCGGAGCCCACAGGCCCCCCCAGACAGAACCCCGGGTCAAGGCTACCAGATATCGTTTTTCTTTCGACATGGACCTTCTGTGGTCGACGTCGCAGCATGCGTGGCAGGAAGGGGACGCGCCACGCATCGCGCGGGAAATGGCGAGACGCTGCTCTCGCCCATAGCAGCGCGCTCATCCTTCTTGAAGGCTGAGCTCCCGCTTTGGGGGCGGCGCACTTCCTTTTTTCTCCACGCGGAGGAGAGCGAGAACTTGTCCTGCTCGAGCGTCGTACATTCTTTTCTCTGAGCTGGGGATGGTTGCCTCTTTTTCGATCGCCCGTGCTTTTCAAGCCGGGCCGCGCGCCGACGATCGGCATGCTGCCTTCGCTTCCAGCTGCTCAGTGTTGAGTTCCCGTCTGGGCGCGGCGCTGGCTTTCCCTACGCCATGCCGTTGTGCTGTTCCTGCGCCCTGCCGCGAGCGCCTTCGTGCCCTCTGTAGGTGGTAGCGCGCGCCGGCTCCTGGCTTTCGGCTGTGCCGGCGTCGGCTGTGATGTTGTGAGAGGGCGGGCGGAAATGGGCGGGGCCCGCTGGCTCGCTCGAGCCGACCACCTCTCGGCCCTCCCTCGTGCTCCTCCTTCCCGCCTCCTCCTTGCGAGGTCTCCAGAGGCCATGGGAGGCCTCCAGGGGTCCACATCCGGGCGAAGACGCCACGCATCTGGACCCTCGATCTCCCTCCCCCCCAAAACATTCCGACGCCCGAAACGGACGGGATCATCCCTCGTCCCGGGTCAGGTTTTGGTGGCCCCAGGGCCCCAGTGGGAGCCCCTGGAGACCGAAAGTGGAGGGAGCACGCTGCGACCGAACAGGTCCGCCGGAGGTCCAGGCCCCCTCCCCCGGCAGGCGCGGCGAAGCGCCCGGGGGGTCGGGTCCCGACCAGGGCGTCTGCTTCCGCTGCGGGTTTCTGCTGGTCGACTCCGCGGCGGCCTGAGGGCGGGGGGGGGGCACCGACGTCCTGCGCCGCCGGCCGGCCATCGGCCGCCGCGCGCTGTCGGCTGCCAGATCAGCCAAAGGGGGAGGATCGAGGTCGGGGATCTACCGGCCCGGGTCAGTCCAGACCCTGGCCAGTGAGGTTCTGCAGGATCTGGCAGAGCCCTGCAGGAAGCTGCAGAAGCCTGCAGGATCCTGCGCCCTCGCCCGGGCCAGCGCAGCCCCGGCTCTGCAGGACCCTGCAAGGTCCGGTTCTATGGCTGACCTCAGTTTGCATGGACCTCCTCCTCCTCCTCCCCCTCCTCCTCTCCCTCCTCCTTCTCCTCCTCCTCCTCCTCCTCCTCCTCCTCCTCCTCCTCCTCCTCCTCCTCCTCCCCCGTCCGAAGGCTCCCGACGAAGCTCGACGATCAAGGGTCTGGCGGCCTGGAGGACTCCAGGAGTTTCCTGGGGGGGACCTCTGGGGACCCTCCCAAGGCCTGGGGGGGAGGAGGGACGGGACGAGGAGGGATCGCACCTGGAGGAGGAGGAGGATGAGGAGCAAGACGCCCTCCGCCCACCCTTCTCTCCCCCCACACTCTGTCTCTCTCTCGGTGGGGGGGGGGGGAGAGAGAGAGAGAGGGGGACAGAGAGCGCCCGAGGCTTCTGGGCCTCCTCTTTATCCTCCCTCCCTCGGGGGGGAGGTGGAAGGGAGTGGGCGGGAGTCGAATAGCGCGGCGAACGGTGCTATCTTGTACGGGGCTGAACCCGCTTGCCCTCGACTCTCAAGCTTTGGTATGCTCTGAAGATGACCAGCATGCATGTTCGTTTTGCCAAACGCGTCACGACACTTCGCATCAGCATCTAACGATCCTGATATAAGCGCAGCTGACCACGCATCCCATCGGATTCGCAGGGAAAGGTAATGTAGAATGGAAGCGATGCACAGAAACGGAGGGATGGTGACGGAGGGACTGGAGGCCCCCTGTGCGGATGCTAATAGAGAAAGAAGGACATATTCCAACTTATACCCCCACTGGATACGTGGCATAGCTGCAACATGTACGTGAAAGACCAGCAACGAACTGCGGTAGTCATCCGCATATGATCGAGACGCGGACCTATGCCTCGGACGTCGTGAGTTCTTGAATACGTGGTCCCCAAACTTCTTGACCCCTTCCTGGGACACTGTATTTTGCACCCCGTCTTTTTTGAGTGTGTGTATGTGAGCTTCTTCTTGTTATTTGTGCTTTGTTGTGTTAGCGGCTCGATGGATGCAGGACACATGTCGAGAAACCTCCGTCTTGTCCAAGAAGTCGGGCGTTGGAGGTCTGGACACCGATGGCCCCCGCCCAGAACTCAGGCCGGCCACTACGCAGGAATGCGACGGGCCAAACTCGGAAGCTGCGCGCGCGCACCCTCGCATCTGCGAGCAGACGGGGGCGGGGGGGAAGAAATGGTGGAATCATGCCCCGACATCTGACGTCGTCGTCGTCGTCGTCGCGGCGGCGGCTTGAGAGTCGAGGGAACAGTACTTGGGGCGACTTGGGGTCTCTTCAAGCCTCCTGGGGCCCTCTCTTGTCCACGGCTGGATCCGCCTCGAAATTCTGGTCGGAGCGAGCCTTCCGAGACAACTCACGAAGTCTTGCTCAGATCTCCGACGTCGTTTTTTGTTTGTTTGTTTCTTTTTTTTTTGTTTGTGTGTGTGTATATATTGGGGGTCTATTTTTTCTTCCAAAAACAAAATGGAGCCCGAACGGTCTAGACCCCTTCCATGGGACCGGTTTTTCGTCCTGACTAGTTTTTGCCACTCCTGCGACCTGGTGGGGGGCCCTGGAGGCCGAAAACAGCTAAGCACGCACCGTTGTGCCAAAGAGGTCGTCTCCAAGCCTTCCGTCGTAGTTCTTCCGAGCCAGGTCGGTCCGTGAGGGTCCTGGGTCCTTGAATCCGACGCTCGGAAGCTCGATGATGATGAAGGGGAGGAGGATGAGGAGGATGAGGAGGAGGAGGAGGAGGGGGAGGAGGGGGAGGAAGAGGAGGAGGAGGAGGAAGAGGAGGAGGAGGATGAGGACCAGGAGGAGGGTGACGAGGAGGAGGAGGAACAGGAGGAGGGTGAGGAACAGGAGGAGGGTGACGAGGAGGAGGAACTGGAGGAGGGAGGAGGGGGAGGAGCAGGAGGAACAGGAGGAGGAGGAGGAGGGTGATGATGATGACGATGATGATGATGAGGAGGAGGAGGAGGAGGAGGAGGAGGAGGAGCAGGAGGAACAGGAGGAGGAGGAAGAGGCGGAAGAGGAGGAGGAACAGGAGGAGGGGGGGAGGAGCAGGAGGAGCAGGAGGAGGGCGAGGAGGAGGAGGAGGAACGGGAGGAGGGAGGAGGAGGAGGGAGGAGGAGGAGCAGGAATAGAAAGGAGGAGGAGGAAGAGGGCAGCGGCGGCGACGGCGACGGCGCGGCCTGGGGATCGGCGCCCGCGGGGCGCGCGGCGGGCTCGCCGTCGTGCGCGTGCTCCCGCCTCGGCTGCCCGCCCCTCGCGGCGGGTGGCGGCCTCTGCCGCGGGTGCTCTCGGGCGAGCGAGCTGTCGATCGTGTGGGGCGATGGCGGGGGCGGCTATGGCGATGATGCTGATGGTGATGGTGGTGATGGTGGTGATGGTGGTGATGATGATGACGATGATGATGATGACGATGATGCTGATGGTGATGATGATGCTGCTGATCGTGATGATGGTGATGACGATGATGACGACGACAATGATGGTGACGACGATGCACGTCGTTCATCTCTGATCGTGCTCATTTCTGGGTGTGCTCGTCTCTAAGTGTGCCTGGGCCCCTAGTGGCCAGGAAGCGGCCCGGGATGGAACAATTAGAATTAAAAGGATCTTGCCCCCAGAAATCAAAGAACTTTCGAATAATTAACAGTGAGCAGCGTGTAATGATGATGCTGATTAATGCCATGAATATGAGCATGATTCCTCCTATTATTGCGCGTAGCTTCGGGCAGCTTCGTGCGCGTCTATCGGCCGCGAGGCAGGAGCAAAACGCAATGTGACCGGCGCAATGTCGAAACGCTGGCCGTACAGGACGGTGGCAAACTGCGGAAGCACTTCTCGGACTTGAGTCCCGATAGCAGGGTCTTGAAGTAGGCGCCATTGTCGTGCACGGAGCCCTCGGGGGACGCGTGCGTTTCATTCTCGGCATGCTGCGTGCCATTGGAGTTGGGGATGTGGGTCTCGATCTTCTCGATATTCGAGATCATCTTCGCAGCCTCCCTGTCCCTCTCATCGCTGTCAATGTCGAGCTCTTTGAGGCGGTGGTCCTGGGTCATCTCTAACTGCGCCTCGGGGGTGGCCGTTTTTGTCTCCATGCCATGTTATGCTGCAGCGTACTAGTCTGCATGCCCGTCATCTTGAAATTCTCCTCGATCATAATGGTGATCTTGGCCGGGTGCTGCAGGAGATTGGTCTGGAAGCTCTGCAGCATGTTCTCCATTATTTCGTCAGCGCCAAGTGTCCCTCGTAACGAGGTTCGCGTTCATGGCAGTCTGCACATTCTCGCTGATGAGCGTGAGGAGCGTGCCAGAGATCTTCAGCTTGTCCTCGCCCAGACGCTCCACCATGTCGTGCAGACGCTTTCGAAAGACTCCATGACGCGGTCCATCTCCTCGGAGTCGACCTGGTACTCGATGCAAGCCTGGTGCCCGAAGTCGTGGTCGGTGTCCGTGTGGAACAAGCTGGAGTTCTTCAGCGTACGCTTAGCCTCAATGACTTTGTCGAGGCGCAGAACCCGACTCTCTGTGGCGCAGCCGTTCACAATGTCTGCCCAGGACTTTCTTCCAGACTCCACCGTAAGCCAGATGCGATGCCTCGCACTGCTGCCAGGCTTGTTGATGGAATGAAACTGTTGTGCTTCAACATCTGTGATGGCGCCGATGTGCAGGGCCGCCGCTTTGAGGTCATTGCCGATCCGCTGGCGGACTCCCGCGCGCAGCTCCAACGATCGTGTCGCGTGGTGAGTGGTCATCGCAAGAATCTTGGTTTCAGTCCGAACGGATTCTGGGACGAGTGCGTGGACATGTCTAGCTGGTCGATCACGAATGTAGCAGATCTGGCGAGCGCGATCGGCATGTTGGCGGATAGCTCGGAGAGAACGTCACCCACAAAGACGGAGCGCGCCAGACACCGCTGCTGCAGTGAATGATAGAGTCGACGAAGCCAACGTCTGTGCCGAAGCCGCCGCCCTTGCAGCGAAGAAGAATCAATGAACGAAGGGGCAATGTGGCATAGCCATCCGCGCGTGCAGAAACGCCGCTCCTTCCAAAAGGAAGATGGCTTGGGTCATGATGATGATATAAATATTGACGTTGCTGAATGTACTGATATGAGTGGCTGTGAGGATGATGGTGATGATGATGATGAAGATGTTGGCGGTTAGGCCGACGAACTTTGGGTTATGATGAGGATGATGGTGTGGCGAAAAGAGTGCTGATAATGATGGCTATGATGACGGTGATAGCTGGACCCCATTTCTCAGAGTGAAGGAAATCTGTAGGATGTGATAGCGGCGCTGTCAGAACTGCGGCGAAAGGACCTGGGCCACTTCGGAGCCCAGGATACACGGCAACTTTTACAAAGGACATCCCACAAGTGGTACAATGGGAATGCTTATGCAACCGGGGTGCGGGGCATCGCTGTGCAGGAATGGCATTGTGTCGCGAAAAACTTGAATCACAACGAATGCGGGCACATGCATACACTGAACAACACATTACGACAGGGCCCATTCAAACCCACGCGCGCACATCCACCACTGGGCCCCATCTCCCAGAGTGAGGGAATATGTCTGGTGTGACAGCGACGCCGCCAAAACTGCGGCGTAAGGAACTGGGCCACTTCCAAACCCACGGTGCATGACAGCTTTCCCAAATCATATTCAGCAGCAACGTGCCATTCGATGCATCCCAGATCGCAAGGAGTTCTCCTGGATGGATACCAGTGCGTCTGTCCCTGAGATCGAGCGATTTCAGTCAGAACGCGAGCGAGCAGTCCATTCAATTTAGGGTGCAGGGCTGGGCGATGGCTGTCCACCTCTGGCCGCCCGCCGCCCCTATGAACTGAAAGTGATGTTGGTCCGTGCGGGGGGGGCCTATGCCTCGCCGGCCGCAGCGTCTCGTGGCTGCGAGCTTTTCCAAATCCTGAGCACGCCAATTGCCGAACGGAAAGCGGGCCCTCTTGCGCCGGCAGGTCCCTGTCATGCATAATTCACCAACAACCTCGCTATCACTGCAGCCTCGGACAAAAATACTTTCTCGCAACGCCGCCGCGCGCGCCCATGTCGATCGACGACGTGTCGGGGATGTCCGCGCCCGTGCCGCCCGCCATCATGAAGCGCGTTCGTGTTGCATGTGGACCGCGCTGGGTGTTCACGACGCCGTGCCATCACTTCGGCTTGTGCGCGCCAGCCGCGACGAGTGTCCATTAACCATTCAGTGTCGAAGAAAACGTGGTACATCCCACTGTGTGTTGAGACCGCGTGGCGGCCATGACGGATGTTACCGAACGGTGCAGACAATCGCTGATTTCCCCCCCCCCCCCCGCGAACCTCGTGAAGGCTTCCTGGGGCCGAAACCATGCCAAACGAAGGACAAAGCAGGCGACGTCTCATGCGAAACTGGGCTGAAACCGTGCCAGAACAAAGCCAAACCAGGCAACTCAATGAGGACGTCCCAATCGAAACCAATGCCAAGCCAGGGCAAAACCATGCACGTTCTGAGGGCGTCTCAAGCGAAACTGGGCCCAAACCGAGCCAAACCGGGGCCCAAACCAGGTAACTTCTGAGGACGTCTCAAGCGGTGCCGGGCGGCGAGCCCTGCTCCGGGGGGGCCAGCATCTGGCCATCGCTCGGACGTCCATTCCCTGTGTTTTTTTCAGTTTCATGCGTGGTTTTTTCGCCAAATGATGGAGGATGCTCCTCGATGGCCCTCGCCGAGAAAAAAAATGCACACGTCCGAGCGATGCCAAGGCATCCGTCGGTCTGGCAGCAGAGGCTGCATGACCAGGGGCGGCCCTGGAGAAGCACGGTGCTCGTTGGCCGCTCGTGCTGCCGCGAGGCTCCAGTGGGGCCCCATCGGGCAAGTGGCGCGGCAAGGCCGCCCGAGCTCCTCGGGGCCCCCCACCTCGAAATCCACGCGCCTCTCGTAGTGGCACGCAGTCCTCGTCGACAGAGGGAGCGAGGCAAGATGCGCTGCAACCTCTTCGCGCATCCCTCGCCCGTGGGTTTTTTCTTTCGTCTCAGATGTGGAAAGTGCCTCGCAGGGGCTGGCCCAGGAAATGCCCCGCGGGGGCCGCGCCTGGGAGGGCGTGCTGAGCGCGGAGCTCGGGGGCAGCTCCGACGGGTGACCAAAAAGGAAATGCCCGCGCTATGGGGCCCGCCGCAGACGCTGGGCGCTCGAAGTGCCAGTCGCGCCCTCGCGCGAAGATTGCGCGCGTCGTGCTGCCGTCCTTCGGGGCCGAGGGCAGGCCGAAAACCGAATCGTTCGCGGGGCCGCGGGGGCGGGGCCTGCCCGCGGCTGCGGCGCCGGCGGGCGCGGCCTCTCGCGCCAACCGCCCACTCGAGAGTGCATTCTGTCTTGCTTCGGGCTTCGTTGGGAGGGCGGTGGCTGGGTTGCCGCGCTCAGGGCGCGCCGGCGCGAGGAAAGGATTTCTGCTTTGGAGAGGGGGCCCTCTGAAACGCTATTTGTTCTCTGGCTGTGGGCGGCCCCGCCGAGGCGCGCTCGCGCTCCTCGGCTGGTGGAAGCAATCGGCGATGTCGGCCTGCGCCGCGTTCGCGTCCTCAGCCTCCATGTCCACCGCGATCCGACTGAGGCCCTCGGCCAGGCAAGATTGCACTCCTGGCGGGGGCTTGGAGAGCTGGTTCGCTGACGAAGAACACGGGCGTGAAACACTTCGGCAATTTGGTCCAATAAATCACCTCCCTTTGATCGAGCTGGCGCGCCGGGCGCTGATGCTGCCGACGACTCGCCTCCACGCAGGGATCCTTGTGCGGCTCAACAGCCCTGGAAATGTGATTCTGCTCATCCACTTCTTCTGTGCTCCGCCGATGCCGTTCGATGCGCCCCTGGACCGAGTCGCGGGCGCGCGTCCCGCTGATCGCATCTGCGCGCCTCGCGTCGCGGACGCCGCCCGGCGTGGGCGTCCTGCCCTCCTCGCAGGGTGTCGCTGTCATGCGCGCTCTGTCGTGCGTCGACTCTGCGCGGAGAAGCGCCCCAGCGCCCCCCTCCTGCGGAATGTCCTGGACTGGCCCCTCCCAGTTGCGAACGGCCTTCTGTGCCCTCGCCTGGGTCTCGCCGCACGCCCGAGCCGCAGTGCTGGGAGCTCGACGCGCTCCTGGTTTGCCCCCACGGCTCGACGTCCAATTCAGAGCCTGCAGCGCCTCGTTGGCCCTGCTGCCCAGCGCGCGCCGAAGTCCTGGCCGTCCACGAACTCCGCGAGAGACTCGAGCAAGCAGGCGGCTCGGTGGGGAGCCGCGGCGCAAGGGCAATCATCTGCGTGGACACACGAGCTCGGGGGGCGCGCAAGGCTCCGTGGGCGCTCGCCCTCGGTGGGACCCATTGCCGCCAGCCTGGGCCTCGCCCTGCGCCGCCCTCGTGCCGCTCGGCGGGCGGCCGCTCCCGCTCCCTCGAGCGAGCCGGGACCGCGCGCGTCCCCGCGCTGCGGCCCCTCCTCGCCGAGATCCGACCGGCGCTCTGACGGGGCCATCGGCGCGCCGGCGTCGGCGGTGGCTGTCAAGCTCGCGGCCCCGGACGACGGCCGCGCGTTGGCGGGGTGCGCGGCGGCCAGGGCGCGCAGGTCCCTCGTCGCCTGGCACGCCCGCCGCGTGCGCGTGGGCGGGTCCATCGCAGCCGAAGTGCCCGTCGACGCCTCTGTTGCCCGCGGCGCCTCCTGCTCGACCGAGAACGGGGGAGGCGGTGCCAGCCCCTGGGCGGCGCCCTCCTCGCGGGCGACGGGCTCGCCGCCGACCGCGGCCCCCGGCGCCTCGACGCGAGGCCCTGTGGCCCGCGCGTGGCCGTTCGCCCTCGGCCCCGCAGTGGCGGTTGGGGGCCTTTCCTCCCCGCTGGTGGCCCAGGTCGGCTCGAAGTCGCTGGCCGGGAAATCAGGGGCCGCGCGCCGCCGTTCGCGCCTACGACGGCGAGATCCACTTTTGGCCCCTCGGCCGCTGGAGCAGGCGTTGGCAGCGGGTCGCTCTCCGGCCTCGGCCCCTCGACGCGCGGCCCCGTGCCGCCGCGAACTCGGCGGGTGGCCGCGGTGCTCGTCTTGGGCCCGCTGTCCATGGGGAAAGCCAAGGGCTGGTCGTCTGTCGAGATTCGTGGCGGCCCCGCGAGCGCCGCCTCCTCCGCAGTCAGCTCTGGGCCCAGCGCGAGGAGATCCTCGGGCGCCTTCGCCGTCGACGAGGCAGAGACCTCGCGTGCCCGCAGTCGGCCAAGGCAGGAGATCAAGTCCCGTGCCAAATAGCGCGTCGCCTTCCGTGTGCACGGGCGCGCAGTGCTCTCGGCGCGCCAGGTAAGCGCCGCTGAGCAGCGTGACTTCGCCGCGATCTCCTGGGCAGAGGCGCCCTGCGCTAGCGAACTCAACGCCTCCTCGGGCGCCTCGAACATCTCCCATCTCGACAATGCCGTGCCGTCAGCGCTGCCACCGCGAGCCTCCGCACGAGCGCCAGACGCTGCGCTATCTGCCTCGGGCCCGTTCGGGCCCGGCGCATGGATGTAGGAAGGGCGGGTCGGTCGGGGGCCGACGCGGATGCGGTGTCCGCGAGAAACTTAACTGGAAACGGTTGCGGGCAAGCGCATGCAGGAAGCCGCGCCATGCGACAGGGCCCATCCTAACCCGTGCGCGCAAATCCACGATGATGATGGTGGTGGCGATGATGTTGCAGCGAGGATGGCGATGCTGCTATTGGTGCGACAGGAGGCCATTTTGGCCAGAAAGCTGATCAAGGTGGCCGCGGCGACCACTTCGGCAATGGTCGAAGTAGCGGTGCCCAAGTAGATTGATGCAGTCTCCCAGTGGTGCAAAACACCATTCTGTGGCCAAGTATCAATTGAGCACCCTCCGCCCGTATGCTGGCTTTTGAGGCTCCCGTCAAATGCATGGCCCGCCCTGCAGCCAGGAAGGCGGGACCAGTACTCCGTGCGGGGGGGGTAGTCTGGTAGCACTCCCATCCAACGCGTCCGCGACAGCATTGCCCCCCCGAAACTCGTGGCGTAGCCGGTCGCCTCCTGCCTCTGCCGGGATTGCCGCGCCCGTGGCGCGCGCGTCGCCCTTCGAAGCGGCTGCCTCAATATCAGATCGGAGCAGCGCTGCCGCCATTTGATCCTCTCGACGGCGGACTGGTTGTCACCCGTGCCGGGCGACGGACTGGTTGTCGACGACGGCTGGACGGATGATGGTAACGATGACGATGATGATGATGACGATAATGATCCTGATGCTTATGAGGAGGATGGTGGTGGTCATGGTGACGGTTATAATGATCATGATCGGCTCGCCCCGCCCTCGCCATCGTGGCTTGGTCGCTGTCGCTCGTACAAGACGAGGATGGTCAGCCCGAGCTGGCTAATCATTGATTATGATGATGCTGATGATGATGATGAGTCTCGATTCGTGTCCGCTCCTGCCATCGTGGCTCTGCCGCTGTCATTCGTGCGCGGTGATGGTGGTGATCGGTGCGTGCATGATTGTCGCGATGACGATGACGATGATGAGGATCGATTCGCGCCCGCCCTTGCCATCGTGCCTCTGTCGCTGTCGTTTGGGCAGGGTGATGGCGGTCGGCCTCGTGCAAGATTGTGATGCTGATCGGCCCGTTCCTGTCTTCGCCATCGTGGCTCTGTCGCCGCCGCTCGCGCAGGATGATGACAGTGCTCGGCTCGCGCTGGATGCTTGTGATTGTGGATGACGATGCTGGTGATGATGGTGCAGATGATGCTGATGATGACGGTGATAATCATGATGCTGATGATGATGGTGATGGTCGAATCGTGCCCGCTCTCGCCATCGTAGTTCTTTTGCTGTCGTTCGTCCATGGTGGTGATGTTGATGGACCAGCGTCTCAGGTCTCCGCTTGACGAAGAGCTTGCGCACAACCCTCCTCGTCTTGGCGATGGCCCTCGACTTCGTCGCAAACATATTAGAAGCGACTGCCGCCGCGCATCTTGTTGTGTCGGAAGTATGTGAAGGTGGGAATCAGCGGGGTCATGCACAAACAACGCGGGCTTCAATTCTGCGGTGCCAATGGGGAACCGGACCGCGAACAAAAAACGGTCCTCATAAGACCATTCGGAGTACGTCGAGGGTAAAAAACGGCCGACGGAAGGAACGACATAGCGAGGAAACGCGAGAGGGAGTGCAGGACGCAATCTCCGCCCATGTGATGTTATCCAATTCGTCGCACCTGCCTGCCTGGGCGAAATCTGACAGTCGTGCACCACCTGTTGCAAATGGCCGGGGGAAGGCCGTGCAGACAAACGAAGCAACAGTCGCAGCAGTGTTCGGATACCGACCACGCGATAATAGTTCCAGATCAGCACCTGTGCCAGGAGTACCTGGATCCGGGGACGCAGCGCGCAGAACACTGAACACCTACTCTGAAGGAGTATCGGGGCCTCCACGATCGTGGTCATTGGGGATGCGGGGAATGGTTCGGAACCCGTCGAACAGGGACCAACGCGAATGGGTGAAGGAGCTTTGGGCACAGTCAGACCTCTGAGCGCCCGCAGGTCGATCCCACTCCTCTATGTCGAGCTACCAAAAAAGGAAACTTATGAGCACAGAAAGCCGCAATCCATGGCATCCTGGTCTTGGGTTTCCAAAGGGCGAGGTCGGGTGGGCCGTCCTAGGTCATCAGCTTGAGATAGCACTGATATCGCCCAGCGCGGCCATGTTGTGACAAAGTGATGGGCGCCGCGCTTGGCACGCAGCACTTCCCGAGAATCTGGGCGACATGGCGCAGGAGAGCTGAGGCAAAGGAGGGTAGTGGGCAACATTTTGCAAGTATGTCTGTTCCGAGTAAGTCCAAGCGGTATGCCTCGTGTGAAATAAGGCCTGTGCTTACGTACACTTGCCATGAGGAACATTCCAGCTAGCCGCGGCCCCACGAAGCCCAACGTGCCAACTTGAAGACATCGAAACTTGAACCGACTTGCTGGAACAGATGGGGGATACCGTGTCTTTCGAGGCTGGCCGGGAAAACGAGAAAGCACTTCTTCGGGGAAGACATGAACCCTTTGGCCCAAACCTCCTTACTCATCATGCGGCGTACGATGGGCATCGTGACCAACGAATCACGCGCGACAGCTCCTCTGTCGCCAGCAAGTGCAAGCGGCCGAGCGGGACGTGGTCGCAACCCTTTCTCCAGATGGCAAGCCAGCGGGTCGAAACTGATGGTACAGTCAACCCGTATAGTAAGGACGCGCGATAAGGATGCAAGGGTCTTGGAGGGCCATTTCGACGCTTTTCGAGCGGGGCACGGCCAGAGAAAGTGGCCAATGAGGGGCCGAAGGGACAATGATGCAAGGGTATCCTTGGGAACATTGCACATCCTTACCATGTGGGTTGACTGTAAATTGGATCCCGCTCAGCAGACTACAGTCTCCGCGAAAAAAGATGTGTCGTGGAACACCTAGGCACGCGACGCAATCTATGACCCAGTCGTGGCTCAGCGACTGGAAGACGATGATTGTAATGATGGTGATGGTGATGGTGATGGTGGTGATGATGATGATGATGACGAGGGGGAGGAGGAAGAGGAGGAGGAGGAGGACATGATGAGGAGAGGGAGGGGGAACTCTCCGAGCGACGCGCTGCCAGGGAGCTGAAAAACACTTGCTACGAGACTCGCGCGCACCACTGCCCCCTCCATGCCCAAATGGGGGGAGGAACGCGAACTGGATGCCTCACACTCCCTTCTGCCTGCGGCTTCCAGGGCTCATGATGTTGAGACATGCCGGACGAATGCCAAGACTCCTCCGAGCCTCAAACCCCTCGTGGAATGCGTGCGGGCCGGGCCCCGAACCTGGCGGAGGGAGCTGCTGCAACAAATCCATGGCGCTTGGCAGATGGACGTCTGCATTATCTGCGGATGCCGAAGTCTTATGGTCTCAGGAGGGACCATGGCCAACACGTCGAGCCATGGATCGCCTCCTCACCGCTACCACTGCACGTCATCGCCAAACCCGCCGTGCGAAATTGCATGTTCCACAGAGGCTGGGCCGTGTGAACAATACCGAAATCATGCAGGACTGCCAGGAATTCGACTCCAAAGGAATGGTTTGTGCTCCGTGCGCGCTGCAAGGAACATAGGCTCTCATGCGCTCCCGAGTTTGTTTGTTCCATGCTTCGTTTTGGTAATGCTGGCTTGCTCATGCACGTATTTCACTGCGTCGTACCTGATCGACACATGTATCCATAGGCGATAATTTTGCGGAATTCCAGCCTGGGGCTGACACAGACTACGCTCAACGCCCAATACGTATCCGAATCAATATCCACACCTCTTGTGCATGCTGCTGTGGACCACCCCGACACATGTTCTTCCCGTCCGTCCCCGCTACCATCTCCTGCGTCGTTTGCCCCGCTGCCACACGAGTGAGGCCCCCCCCCTCCTGGCGGAATCGGCAGCAACCCGCGCTCTGGCTGCATTGTCCGCCTCGATGAGCTCGAAATCCTGCCAATCTCTCTCTCTCTCTCGACATCGGTCTGTGCCCAGGAAAAAAAATCAAAGGGAGAGGGGGGGGGCGGACGGGAACAAGGACGCGGAGGAGGCCGAGAGAGGCGCGCAGGGGGAAGCGCGGCCGCGCACAGCAGAGAAGCGGGAGCCCCCGGCCGCGGCAAGGGCGCGAGCGCGCGCGCGCCTCCTCGCCGCCCTGCCGCGGACAGCGACGGCGGGCGAGGCGGCGCAGGGCGGGGAGGCGGGCGTTCCGAGCTCGCGGCCAGGGGGCGCACTCGCCTGTCCTCCCCCTCCTCCTCCTCCTCCTCCTCCCTCCTCCTCCTCCTCCTCCTCCTCCTCCCCCTCCCCCTCCCCCTCCCCCTCCTCCTCCCCCTCCTCCTCCTCCTCCTCCTCAACGCTTGCGCGGGTGAGCGGGACGCCTCTTCAAAGCGGGGCTCCCGCTGGGGACTTCCGCCAACGCTCGGACAAGGCAAGAAGCCAGTAACACCAACACGGGTGGAGGGGGCGGCTGCTTGCTCGAAGTAGGGCTCTCGCTCGGGATTCTCTCGCACTGTATAGCAAGGCGCCCGAACTTGCGCAACACTTGCGCGGGTGGGGGGCAGATCCTTGTCAAAACGAGCCTCTCGCTGGGCACTTCCTTGACCTTTAGGACCCTGCTGCTTTGCTTTTCTCGTCGCCAGGTGGACGGCGCTCCTTCACAAAACAAGATCCTTTTCAATCGAACCTCTCGCTGGGCACTTCTTAGACCTTTCTGACCCTGCTTCTTTGCTCGTCGCCAGGTGGAAGGCGGGTCCTCCACAAAACAGGGCCTCGCGTGAACGGGACGGCACTGCTACGGGGGGCATTCGTCTGTCAAGGGGGGGCGCGTCGCGCAGCTGGCAACCCCACCTGTGGGGATGCGCTTCGGGAGGGAGGGCATGGGACGGGAGGGTGTACGGCAGCACCGCTGATGCAGCTTGGGTTTAATCTTGGTCCTCCTCCTCCCCCGGCTCCCCCGCCTCCTCCTCCTGCTCCTGCTCCTTCTCCCCTTCCTCCTCCACTCCTCCGCCTCATACACAGCTTCTCCCTGTCGCACCCCGAGGCCGGTTTTTAGGGCGGGCCGGGCGTTTCGCCTGAGACTTCCTCACCATTTATGACCCTGACGCTTAAGAAGCGGCAACAGTTTCACACATGGATGGCGGGTGGTTTTCAGAATGTTGCTCTCGCCTTAGCGCGGTGCACATTCGTTCTGAAAACTTCCAAGACTTATACGGATTGAGGGCGTGTGGTTTTCAGAATGTGGCTCCCGCCTTAGCGCGGCGCGCATTCGTTTTTAAACAATTGCAAGAGCTTCACGGATTGAGGGCGAATCGTTTTCAAAATGTGGCTCTTGCCTCAGCGCGGCGCACATCCGTTTCAAATCATTGCAAGAGCTTCACGGATTGAGGGCGGTTCCTTTTCAAAATGTAGCTCTCGCCTTAGCCCCGCGCGCATTCGTTTTAAACATTTGCAAGAGTTTCACGGGTTCCCATCATCAACGTACCAAACACTGTGTTTTGGAAGGATTCAGGATGATGCGGGCGCAACAATTACGTGGGTTCTTTGTGTTGAAATAAATCCCAGGAGTGGCGCTCTGGCACGAGTCAGAATCGTCAAGACGCAACAGTCAGGTCGATCCGTGACGTTGGCATCCCGAGAACAATGTTTTGGCATGCTTCAAGCTTCAGACGGGTGTCTTCCAACGAGGCAGTTCCATCAATGGAAATGAAACGCTGTTAGGGGCCTGTGAAGAGGGAGTTTAGAGGGAGGGTTTAACCCAACATCGTTGATGACTCTTGGGTTTACACTGATCCTCCTCCTCCTGAGCGCTGTCCTGCGCCGCGGCAGCGAATATCTCCGAGGCTAGCTCGATGAAGTGCATCTGGGCCACCTGGAACGAAACCTTGGGGTGAGGAGGGGACCTTCCTCCTCTTCCTCCCCCTTCTCCCACGTGCTCGGGAGCGCGTGGGCGTGAGGAAGATGCTTGTGTATGCGTGTGTGTGTGTGTGTGCTTGTGTGTGTGTGTGTTTGTGTGTGTGGTGTGTGTGTGTGTGTGTGCGTGCGCGTGCGCGTGTGTGTGTGTGTGTGTGTGTGTGTGTGTGTGTGTGTGTGTGTGTGTGTGTGTGTGTGTGTGGGTGTCCGTGTGTGTCAGTGTGTGTATGTGGGTGTGTGTGTGTGTGTGTGTGTGTGTGTGTGCTGGTCGGCTCGTCTGCCCTCGTCTGACCCACCGTCATCCGCGCCCGGATGGCTTATGACCAGCTGTCGGCGCTGCTTGTTCCGAGCGGCTTGAAGGCTCGGCCTTTATACGCGCGTGCGCGCCCCTGTCTCTGACCTTTCTACGCTCTGTCGCTGCGCGCGGGGCGGCGACGCGACAATTGTGTGTGTGTGTGTGTGTGTGTGTGTGTGTGTGTGTGTGTGTGTGTGTGTGTGTGTGTGTGGGTGTGTGTGTGTGGGTGTGTGTGCGTGTGTGTGTGTGTGTGTGTGTGTGTGTGTGGCCGTCCACTGCGTCCCTTCTCCTGTGCAAGCTCTTCGGCACCGCCTGCACCCCGGGCTCCACCTGCTCCGGCCGCCTGAGGCCCCGCCTTCCTGCGCCCTGTCTCCCTAATTAAACCTGCGCGTAGCCCGCCTAGCTTTTAGCGGAAGAGGTTCGCTCTCGCCCCGCCGACCAAAAAGTGTGTGTGTGTGTGTGTGTGTGTGTGCGTGTGTGTGTGTGTGTGCTTCTTGGCCAAGTCCGCCACCAGTGGCGCGCTATGGGACTTTCCAGGCGCTCTCCAGGAACTGGCCATGGCAGAGGCCGAGGACACTCAAAACATGACCCGCTTTTCTCCCACGGGTGAGCATCCTGAGCTGGGCGGATATCTTCGGAAATGCAACGACGTGTACTTTAGCAGGTTGAACGACAGGGAGCTGAAGGCCCTGCTAGATTGGTTTCGCCAACTGAGTCCAAGAGCCAACATGCATATGCGCCTGGATTCGAGGGACATTGCGCAGAACGGTTCCGACATCAAGAAGGCGAACAACGTTTGGAGCTGAACGTCCAACGAGAAACAGAGCGTCCTGACCGCGCTCTACTCCCATGATTGGGTCCAGGCGGGCGAGCACCCCGTCCACCAATTCTGTGGAGTACAGCGAGTTCTCGTGGACGCGGTGGCCCACCTCAACGGCGCGAGAGACAATCCCATCCCCTCCGGGGGCCGCTGGTCAGCCCACATTAGTGACGAACTCGTCGCAAACACAGGTTTTGACCTAGGAAAGCAGGAAGCACAACTACTGGCTTCGTTTCTTCGACGTGAAAGTGCATGCTGACCAGGGATGAGTGACCTTGCGCGAGTACGTGCCGCGGTACTCTCATGGCACACACACACACGCACTACCGATCGGCATCCAGAGTGCGCCGCTCTTTGAACAAGGGACGCCGAAGCCCCAAGGACCGCTCTACCCACGCAGGAGTTCGACTGTTCACCCTTCGAGGAAGCGTTCCACCGACAGGGTCAAATCCCTGCGGGTCATGCGTCAGGATGTGACGGTCGGGGTGACGCAAGACTCGGGTACGGGGGACTCGGGATGGCCTGACGGGGGCCATCATAAAAATGACGAGACCCAATCTGAAATTTGATGCGGGCTCCCGCTGCAGACGTCCCACGAAAACGGGACCGTCAGAATCCAGCCAGGACGCGCTCGTCAAAAAAAAGCCGGCAAACCCGAGTTCTGGCTTACCCGGGTCTTACGTTTCCCCGAGACTGGGCACAAAGCAACAGCGAGCGCAAGGATGCAACCCAGCGGGCAAGGGGCCCAGAGGCGGCACGTGCTGATGGCAATCGGCGACGAGAGCGCCCACTGGTCGACCAGGGAGGCGAGCGAGCACGGCAGAGGCCCCAGCGCGCAGAGCCGCCCGCGTGGGAGCCAGCGCCCGACGACGAGAGCACTCCGCCGACACCCGACGCGCTCGTTGGGCATCTCCAGCGGAACACCAGCGTGGAGCGGGGCACGCCGGACAGGAAGTCTGCGTGGGGCCGCTGCAGAGACACCCGCCGCCGACCGGACAGGTTCGCCCCGGCGGTCCAGGGCCCTTGGTTACTCAGCACTGCGCGGCTGCGGGCTGCTGTCGGCGCCGATCATCTGCGTGCGGAATCTGCTGGGGGCTTCGTGCAGTTCATGATTCGGGCGGTCTCCCTGGCCGCGGGGGAGTCGTGAAAGGGACCGGACCCCTCACCGCACGAGTCGGGTCAAGGCTGAACGCGACCTTCGCTGGTTGCCCTGCGGGCTCAAGCGCAGCAGGGTGTGGGGCTTGCACTCTTTACGATGGCCCTCCCTGTCCTCAAAACCTCGGATGCAGCCGATCACTATCGATGGCTTATGCGACCGTGCATGCTCTGCGGCTCTGAGATCTTCGTAGGCTGTGCGAGCGTAATCCGAGTAGACTGCCAACCGCGCGCCGCCCATCCTTCCAGTGAGATACGCGTCTGTGATGCTGCGGATCCCACCCCATCCGAACAGTGGCTGCCAAGGCAGAGGACGCCAGTCGGCGGGACCTGCTTTGGTGGTATCAGCGACGTGCTTTGCATGCGGGGGTTTTCGTTGGGCCTGTCCTCCCCTTGGCACCAATTCCCCCTGTGTCTCTTCGCGGCGTGTTATCGCCAAGGAGATGGCGCACATCAGGTGGAATCAGCTCCTCTACGAAGCTGCTCGAAGAACTCTGGCAAGGCCATGTGTGGACTATGGCCTGGCAACGACGGCAGGGTGCAGAGGCTGCCAGGCCATCGGGAGGATGCCTAGTGAAGTGTGGGTTCCTGGGCAGCGCGCGCCCTTGTGCGTCGTGTGCAACGCGAAAGAGGGCGAATGTCACTTCTGCCGCGGCACACTCATTTTCGCCCATGCCCCCCGCCAATATTTCGGCCGGTCAATCTGTCCCAGAGGGGGAGGGGCAAGGCCGACAGGACGTTCGAGGGCGACATCGTGCTGCGTTCGGAGGCGTGTCCTTCTCCTCCTCTTCCTCCTCCCTCCCTAGATCCATCCTTCCCTCCCTCCCTCCCTCTCTGGTCTCCCTCCCTCCCTTCCTCCTTCTTTCTCCCTCGCTCCCTGCTCCCTCCCTCCCTCGCTCCCTTCGTCCCCTCCCTCTTCCCCTCCTCGTCCCTCCTCATCCTCCTCCTTCCCCGCCCTCCTCCCTCCCCCCCTCCTCCACGCAGATCCATGGTGATCCCTCACTCCATATGTCCCTTCCACCCGACTCCTACTTCTCTCCCCCCACCCTTCATTTCCTCCCACCACTACTTAATTCCGTCCCCCCATCCCTCAACTCCTTCCCCCCCGCCCTTTATCCATCTCCCATCCCCCCCTATGTCCTCCCTCCTGATCCCACATCTTTCCCCTCCGCATCTCCTGTTCTCCCCCCCCTCACTCCTCCTCTCCCTCCCTCCCTTCCTCCTCTTTCCCTCCCCCCCGCCCCTTCTTTCTCCATGCGACCCCCCCTTCTTCCCTTCCGTGGTGATTCCATCGTGGCTCCGCAGATCCGTCGGACTCCGGCCGGCGGGCCAGGGGGGCCCCGAGAGCTGAGGAGCGGGCGAAGGCCCGGAAGCAGCTGCGGAAGGCGCGGGCCTCCCGACGCCCCGCGCCGGGGCTGCGCAAATCGATGCGTCGTCGCCATTGTCGCGCTCCCGCGCGCGGAAGAGGAGGAGGAGGAGGAGCAGGAGGAGGAGGAGGAGGAGGAGGAGGAGGAGAAGGACGACGACGACGACGAGGGAGGAAGGGGAGGACGATAGAGGAGGAGGGGGAGGGTAGAAGAGGAAGGAGGAGGATGAGGAGGAGGAGGGAGGGGGATGAAGAGGAGGAAGCAGGTGGACGAGGGGAATGCCACCCAGGTCAGATAGAAATTCTGCAATACTGCTAAATGAAAAATCACACAGCCTGAGCAAACAACCGCTACATCCTCATCCACGCCCTCTTCCCTCTCATCCTCCTCCTTCTGCTTCCTCGCTCCCATTTCCTGGTCCTGCTTCTCCGGTTCTTCCTCGTCCTCCCCTCCCCCCGTCACCGTCTTTTCTTCCTCCTTGTCGTGCTGTTGGTCGTTCACCCCTTCCTCCTCTGGTGCACCCCGTGTTTCCACCAGCGCGTTCCGCCGAAGTGGAGACGGAGGCCCCAGCCCGCTTGAGGTCTGGGCAGCGGGTCGCGCGAGCGTCGTCAACGGTGCCTCCTGGTGCAGGCAGCAGGCGGTGCTTCCTCCTCTGCCTCCTCGCCTTCCCCTGTCCGCGCTCGGCAGGCCTTCTCCTCGCCATCGCTCGGACGTTCAGTCCCTGTGCTTTTTTGGTTTCGTGCGTGGTTTTTTCGCCAACTGATCCAAGATGCTCCTTAATAATCTTTGGGGGTGGGAGGGGCGGTGTTAGGCCCGCGCTCGGCAGGCCCTTCTTTGGGGGTGGGAGGGGGGGGGGGGGTAGGAAACAACTACTGGGAAGCTTTCGTCGGAAAGAGGGCTGGAGTGGGTCTCGGACTAAGCAGGACTAAGCCGGATTAAGCGGGATTGAGCCAGAGTAAGCGGGATTAAGCGGGATTAAGCCCGATTAAGCCGGACTTCGGACCAGGGCAAAACCAGAATGACCTCCCAGGAGTTGCATTTGAAGGAGGGGGAGGCTGTGCCCCACTCATCCTGCTGCTGCTGCCCCTCCTCTCGCCATCTCTGCTTCCCCTGTGCCCCTGCGTCTCCACGGGCGGGATCGAGGCTTTGACGTTGACCTGGAACTGCCACCTGGGCTGGCGGCCGAAGAGCGAGCCCGGGGACCCAGGACGCGAACCGACGGGAGCATATTCTGTGCACATGCGTACGATTCGTCGTTGGCCCAAGATTCTGCGCAATGCTCGCCCCGTAAATCTATACAGCGTGGCACAACGTTCGCTGTCACCTACACCGCCACTTTAACCATCAATGCCTATGCCGCCGCCGCTACCGCCAAACGAACGTCGCCGTTATGGTCGATGTTGCCAAATTTCCGTCAACGTTGCTGCCATTCCTGCTGAGACTCAAGCTCATCCAGAATTTGCTGCGATTCTTGCACCAGACTCCCAATCGCAATGCCTAAAACATATCATTACATCTGTTTCAGGAAGAACAAGACAAGGTTCCAACCTCGTGCTTGATCCACACGGTCGTACTATCCACCCAACCTTGCAGACTCGTGGCGGCAACATCTCGACATCACCATGCGGCAGAG